GTAAATAATATTAACAATGAAATAATAAAAGTAATAATATAAACACATATTAAATTTATGTTAAAATTCTATTCGTTTGTGTTTGTTAAATATATCGTCTACTAACGATAAATTTGTAGGGATAAAATTAGTGTAATCAAGCAAAAATATGCTCTTGAATAACGAGAAGCTAAATGTTGTGCTCACCAAAATTACCAATTTTTAGTTTATTTTGATTTCATTGCAACTAATTGTTAATTTTAATGTGACAACATTAAAGTATTAAAAATAAGAATTATAATTTTAAAAATTTTGGGATTAGCAAAAAAGGCTAATAGTTCCAATAGAGCAATATTTATAATCCGCTAATAACACAAAATTTAAATAATTTTTTATAAAAAAAAAGTTAAATGTTTCAATTACGATGGCGTCATCACAGGGTAATTAAAATTAAAAAGCAGAGCACACACTAATTGAAATAATAATTATAATTTCAATTAATTTTGCATAAATGTGCAACTATTTTGTAAGTACTTTGAATCGGTTTATTGCTAACTAGCACCATATTTACATTGTGGTTACGCTGGACTTCTAGATTTATAGCTTCTTATTGACGCATTTACTCTGCTGCCTTATCAAAAAATTCTTCCCATCAACAAGGCATGGTCTTACATTTGCAAGTTTTCCTGGAAGCTCGATAACACCTTTACAAAACTTCTTGCATTTGAATTTCTTACTCAAACTTACAATGAGGATGTTCTCGATGAACCGAACGTCGACGATGAGAACTAAATTCTAATTTCGAAGCTGGTTTAGCTGATTTATTTCAATTAAGTCTACATGAGCTTTGAATAATTAAAGATGATTAAAGACGTCAAAGGCAAATCCTCTGTATTTATCAAATTAAAATTAAAATTCGCTTTAAGTTAGTCTGTTCGAACGTACAAATACTTTTACATTTCTATTACCTGCAACTGAAGATATTAATATTCAGTAAGCAGATGTGTACTTCTACCAATAATTCCAATTAGTGCTTTCAATGCTATACACAACATTAAGAAAATCGCACCCGTTATTCACAAGAATTAATAATGGTTTTTGTCTAGATGGTATTCTGTAGTACTATTACCAATAGAATTTTTATTATTTCATGATTGTTATTTTTTAATGGAAAACTTAATGCCTTTCATTTGATTTACACTTTTGTATCAGCCAATGTATTTTATTCCTTTTAATATATCTTGCTATTTAACAATTGCATTGCTTTCTTTTTCTGCAAAGGAAAAGAAAAAAGAATGACTAGTTATTCTACGCTCCCACGCACAAATAAAACTTGGAGTCTTTGCAGCACAACTCTAGCCGATTAAACAACCGACCCTTCAGTCCCGATAATACCCGTAAACAGTGCGAACATATCTCTCTCTCCCTACGAACAACTACGGAAGATGTCCTTGGTTTCAAACGTTCCTCGCGTTAAAACCAATGGTATGACGAGAAGTGTCCCGAAACTACTACCGCGAAGAACGATGTCTATAAGAGAACCCTGCAGTAAGAAGCTACGCGAACCATGCGTGAACAATATCAGGAGATGAGAAAAGTGGAGAAGCGCAATTTAGATGGAGAAAAAAGTCGCAAATGTGAGGAAATCGAGGTATGTAGAAACAGGAATGATGCCCGTAAATTTACACTCAAATGCGAATTGAGAATACATTTGCTGTCAAAAATGAGTAAATGTTGCGCACAGTATTCGTTCACAATAGTTGTTCACAGCTCACTAATCTTTTGTTTTGCTTGTCATATTTTTCTTATGGAATTAAGAAATTAATAAATAAAGTGTTCACTTAAAGGTGTTATAAGTAAGACGATTTTTCTGCACGACGGATCGTCATTTGCTTCTATTTTGTTCCTGAAGCTTTAGTCAATTTCAAAATCTTTTGAAATTGTTTTGAGAGTTTCGTTTGTGTCCACTTTTGACATCATTTGTCCGTCTTTACACACAAATGCCAATATCAGTTCACAATAGCTTTTCATTGCTCACGACTGCACTGATGGAATAATCAGTCAGTAGCAAAGAGTATCTCAATTTATACAATTTATATAAATTTATTATATATACAATAGTGAACTAAAAACATTTGGATGAATATAAAAATAAATGCAAATTGATCATCTTTGAACTGTGAAATTTAAAATTTGGTCCGAATTTCAATATTTATTTTTTGAAAGCAGTTTCGTGGTTAATCTCCACTTACATTTGCGCAAAACAACTATGCATTACTGCCAAAATATTGACAACTACAAAATAATGACAAAAGAAAAACATGAAGAATATCGTGTTAAATAAACTTTCAGTCGAAAGTATGTCCGGAGGTAGTAGTTAGGAGAAAAGATGTCCAGAAGCAATAAGCCAATTAATGTTGCCCAAGACGTACTTCAAGGAGATTATCTACGATTACTTCCTATGAAGCATCTATTAAATTGAATATAGCAACAAATTAAAACTTAGGTTCAGAAATAACTTTTTAAAATTAATCGGCTCAACATACGTCCAAAAATATGATATCGTATAACATATGATAATTTATTGATGTCATTTGTGATTTGACATTTAGTCGGAAAACAAAATTTGCTTCGTTTCGTTTCGTTTTACGATTTGAATGCAAAAAGACTGACTGCACTATAATCATCAAAGTTAAATATTAAAAAGTGAATAAAACCTTAAAAATGTCTTATCTCATACACCATCTGCATAACGGATGGCAGGTGGACCAAGCAATTTTATCTGAAGAAGATCGTGTAGTGGTATAATATATAAAAAAAATTTTTAATAACAGTACATTATTAATAAAAAGATTTTAAGGTGATACGTTTTGGACATGATTGGGATCCGATTTGCATGAAAATGGATGAAGTCATGTATAGCATTGCTGTGCAAGTTGAAAACTTCGCAGTAACATATTTGGTGGACATAACTGAAGTTCCGGACTTTAACAAAATGTATGAATTATATGATCCCTGTACGCTCATGTTCTTTTTTAGAAATAAGCACATCATGATTGATTTGGGTACTGGTAACAACAACAAACTAAACTGGCTGCTTGAAGACAAGCAGGAAATGATTGATATAATTGAAACAGTTTATAGAGGTGCACGTAAAGGTCGTGGTTTGGTGGTTTCGCCGAAAGATTATTCCACAAAATATCTTTATTAGTGGAAAAATATAACAACTATTACACTACTATTCTTTAATAAATGATGTCAATATCAAATGTTACTAAATGCAACAAAATGAATTCTTACCAAAATAACAGAATTTCTTTTTAAGATTATTCCTATTGCAAACTTGATAACAGCAAGTAAAACATTTATATTAATATTGATATTAACAATAAAATCATTAACAACATCTAAAACAATATCAAGCTTTGAATTATTTCAAGTTGGTCAAGTTTTTTAGACAGAAAAGAAGAGATAAGCGATTGATATTGTATTTAAAGTACACTAATTAATTAATTTCAATTTATTTAAAATTAAATTCTACTATTGAAGTCTATTTTACTTGATTCTTACTCTCACTGAGTTAATGTGTTTGAAATTGACTAAAGCCTCAGGAACTAGATAGAAGCAAATGACGATGGACACTTTATGATAAAAGAAAAAAAGTTCTCACAAATGAAAAACGATTTGTATAACTAAAATTCACACTAGGTTTAGATACTCGATATGTAGCCTTGTTGAATAAAGTTGAATGAAGAAGTTTGGATTCTTAGAAAGAATATATCATAATGCAATTTATTATTGACAAGGATTAGCTTGAATGGTCGTCTATAGAGTGTCGTCGCAAAATGAATAGAGTGTTTGATGTTAGGGTGGACGTTGCATTTTCTCTTGTAAAAAGAAAATGAAAAAAATTACTAGATATAAAATCATTTAGCAGAGAAGATCTTATCTCTCTGTAGTAGTGTGGAAGTGATTTCAAATAACGTACGAATTCCGAGAAAAAATGCATTTGATAAAAGCTTGTGTAATTAGATGCAAGGAACGTCTAGAAATGACAGTCCACGTTTTTCGTTAGATTGTAAAATGGATTGTAAAATGCAATATTTTAATGTTTAATAATATTAATATTATATTTTTTAGTAAAATTTGTTCAATTTTAAGTAATGCAGTTCTGATTTGCACTTTAAATTCTACAAAATTATTTCGAAAAAATGATGTTTCTGACTTGTTAATAAAAACCACAATTTTGGGCAAATTTGGAAAACTGCATATAAGTTTTGAAATTTTTTATTCGATTTTTATGTTTAGCCACTCACAATCTTTATATTAAAATAGTCTTTAACATCAATAAAAAATTATTTTTCATTTTAGTTATTGATTACTGATTAATATCATGAATTATTGACTCTGTCAGATAGACTGATGAGTACTTCAGTGCTTAGTAAAAACACAAAACCTAAGAATGCGAAGATTTATCTAAATAGTGTGTCTACAGTTAGAATATTTGATTTAGGGAATTACAATAAAAAAATTTCATTAAATATCAAAAAATATATTATAATTATGAAAAGAAAACTCCTGTCCAATTTGTTGAAATAATTAATCTACGAAATGTGAGTAAATGATTTGCTCTAACTACTTAAAATAATGCTATTTAAAAAGCAGCTTAGAAGGCATCCGTAAGACATATAAAGTTTGGCTACATTTATTTTGTAATAATGTACAAATAATGTCATTTGAATTAATAACTTTTTTTTATACTTCAGAGATAATTATATTTAATGATAATAACTGAAGAAGCATAAAACATAAATATCAACAAGTAATTAGAATTGTGCTTGTTGAAAAAATTGCTTTCTTACAGGTATGTCTAAACTGACGGTACGGTACTATATGCGGTTATACCATAACGGTATATGGGATAAGACACACAAAATAGGATAAGAAAGGGACATATCCCAGACACACTAGAACACTTGATGTATCTTTATCCAGGTTTGGCCAGAACTAGGCTTCAGTTTCGTTGGACCACCTCTTCAACACACTGTTGCGTATATGTTTTACTATTCTTATTGTTTTACTATTCTTTCGTTTTAAACTCTTCCTTTTCTTTGTGTTCACTTTAACTCTTCTTATTTAGCTTAACTGACGAGGCCCCTGGCTCTACAGAGCCCTGATGTGAGCTCTACTCACATCAACACTTAGCGATATCTCTAGCATTAGCATTGACCAGATTCTTGCCTTTATAAATGCTTCTGATTGGTTCTAGCTTGACCTTCTCTCTACTACCCACTGTCACTAATTGTGGAGGACTCGTTCCTCCCTCAACCACAACTAACTAATAAACTAACTAGGTACAAATGTCATATTTTCTATAATTTTACTACAAAAACTATTCATATATATATCAATTTTATTTATAAAAATTACATATAATTGTATTACAAATAGTCTAAAATGTAAATATTTTATTAAATATATATATTCAAATAATTCTTTGTTATTCGAAAACCCTTCGAAAAATTTAATAAAGCTTCTTTGTCACTATACAAAGTAAGTCTAGCTTTACAGCAACACTAATACTTTATTCAAATAATTTTGATGTATGGTACAAAAAATATCGTCAGTCATATCGTATCTGTTTGTGTGATTAAATCGTTATTAAGAATGTAAGAGATTGTATTATGCGCATCCGTATAAGAAATTTCTATAAGTGCAAGTTACTCATTGACCATAAGTAACAATGAGTAATGAATAATAAAATATATGCACATCCAGAAGCATTTAACTGACTGATCGAAAAAAAGAAAATATTATCCATGAACAAATATTGCTGCAGTCATTAACTGATCGCTGAATACTACAGTACACAATTTATTGTATGTACTATAAACTTAAACATTGCATTAAATATGCAAAGAGACTCATATCACATATGTATATATATACAGTGGTCGTCCAGTATAACGAACGCTCGATATTACGAATTTTCGATATAACGAACACCCAAAATATTTACATTGATTGTTCTATATAACGAACGAAAAAAAAAATTCTGCTCCATATTACGAACAAAAAATTTTTTGTTTCTTATTCGTTTTTGTTTTATACAAATTATGCTTTTGAATATAATTTTACTATAAAACTAGCATTATTCAGCTTAGAATATGCATGTAATTGTCCGTTTTTTTTTTTCTGAGAAAAATGCCTATATATGGCAAAATGCATATATGCAGGCGCCACTGATCTGTTGTTCACAAATTCAGTTTATCATATACGAAATACTATCCAATACTATCTAACTATTTATTGTTAGTGTGACATTAGTACATACGAAGTTAATAAATGGAATAATGCTGATAATACCATCGATGTCTCGGACGAGGATGATGGATCTGATGACGAAAATATAGAAGAAAATAATTTAGAAATTATTAAACATAAAGATGCCATAAATCATTTCGAAAAATGCATAAAGTGGGCGATTAACAATAATGAAACTTCAAAATTAGCTGTACTAAGAGAACTACAAGAAAAAGCTGTTCAGAAAAGTCTTGAGTGTAGTAAAAAACAAACAAAAATTAATGATTTTTTTTACTCTACACTATGATTGAATGCGTCCTTTCTTATAAATCATTTTTGTAACAACCGAATAAAAGATACGTTTAAATAAATATATACTCGTACGTGTTTATAAGATAATTTATGAACTCAAATATATGAAATCTCCTAAAAATAACCATATTGGTAGGTAAATGTATAACATTCGATATTACGAATTTTTCGATATAACGAACAAGGGGTGCAACATAAAATTCGTTATATTGGACGTCCACTGTATATATATATATATATATATATATATATATATATATATCATATGAGCAACATTTTGTAAATAATGCATTGACACGGAAAGGGATTCTCATTTCTCGTGTTCCCAGAAAGTGAGTTGCGTGGAAAGGAAGACTGCGTTTACTTTACTTCAATAATAAACGAAAAATGTTTAATGTGCAATTTTATCTTAATTGCTGCATAATAAATAAATTTACTTTTTAACTCTTCCGCTCCGCTCGAAGGTAGGACAGCAATTTTCCATTTTTAATATTTCATCTGTTTATCTCAGTGGCCGTGCACTCATGACAATATCATTAATAATTTAACCGGTTAATTACAGTGGAAAATTATTAAGTCGTTACAGAAATGGATGATATTTAAAATGTGGAATATTCTGGGTATACTATACATATTGCAGTATTGATATATGGATGCAATATGGAAGGTATGAAAAATTGACTTTTACAATTTTTTAACGTTTCAAAACAAATAACACTAAAAATGAAGTTTTTCATTTATTTTGCTCTTGATATTTACTATTAAATTTAATAAATTTATAGGAAAAACAACATTTATCACATGCAGTACAAATGTCTGGATTCGTGTTTTTTACTTTTGGCACTTAAAAGCAATTTAAGCTTTTCAGTATAACAAACTATTTGGTGTTAAACACTAAAACTACATTTTACACCAAATAAACCTCATTTGCAGCATTTGTAGTCTAAGTATAAATATAATATATGGTAACCACCAGTATGACATGTGCTGACATAATGAAGTAATAAACTCTACAGTAAAGGAAGTAGATGCAATGTATAGCTTTAAAATTCAGTTTAATTTATGTTGCAATATATACACAAATGAGCATAACAATATATATACATTCCTTCCATCGAGAAAGAATATAAGATGCAAAGGTTTTGTATATGGTCTAAATATCAACTTAAATCTATTGCAAACATTTTAATAAACTTAATAAACACTTTTGACAGTGTATTTTTTAAAGCATATAAAAAAATGTATAAAGAATTTGTGAAATATTTGTTAAGACGCTTAGTAGTTATAACTTACGCGACTCATTTTATATAATTATTAATTCAATGAGCGTTTTCGCAAACACTGAAGATAAAAGTACACAATATAAAGGAAATCGATAGAATTACATATCAATTACTCTACTTAGCTGTTTTTTAAACAGATATCAAGCATAAAGCAAGGGGAGTTAACATTCAGAATAGTATCACCACACTTAAAGTGGTATGACCACACCCATGATGGCATTGCCACACTGAGGACACCAGCACACCCATGATATTGTCACATCCAAGAAACCATCACACCCAAGATACCACTATCCCCAAGATATCACTACGCCCAAGATATCACCACTCCTAAGATATCACCACACTCGAGATACTACCACACCCAAAATACCACAATATCCATGAAACCACTACACCCGGAAT